CGACACAGAGCATTCGGAATGGAACCATATTATCCGTGGAGTTCAACAGGCAGATGCGTTTTTGATTTTGCTATTCAACATTGATCTCGGCTTTCTTCGTTGAAACAACGCTTGCGCTGGTAAAACCAAGGGTCTCATTCTAGGCGGAAGGGACAGTTTAAACTATCCGGCTAGGTGTCCTACTGATCTGGAGTAAGCAGTTGATGCTATCCATGTGAGTGGTACGGGAAGTGGGCTCTGTCATCTGACGGCTTCCGGTTGCGACACAACTGCGAAAGTCGCCCCTTTTCTCAACGTCTACAAATTAAAAGTTGTGAGGAATTCATCCCTCACAGCTGATTTACAAGTGGAACAGGGAGGTATATCGCTTTAGGCGGTTCTTCAATTTCAGTATCTCACGTGCCATCATCAGCAGCGATGGCATCAACTGACAGATTTAAATAAGAGGTTCACCGTAGTCTCGAATGCTTTGAAAACCTGTCCAATAATTTAGCTGAGAAAGAAGTATCTCATTCCACAAAAATCCGCTTGCACATTACCCAATGTTGTCTTACGACGTCGGAACAGTTGGTCTAACAAAGGAGAAAGAACGACTGTTGAAGTGAGCGCAACAACACTGGCTTTGACACATGACGAAACTTAAATGACAGCATCACATAAAGGCACATGGTATTATTTTGTTATGGACCCTGTCGCATTAAGTGGTTGACCATGAGACATATATTGTAGCACATAATCTTCCAAATGGGAGTTGAAACATGGCAGACGTCGACCAGGACACTAGCATGCGACAAGGAGGAACAGGGAAAAGGCATATCTGGGCTCGGAGAGAAACAATTCCTTCCACTGTGCAGTAACTGCTGCCGTATGGCAAGTCTGAAAAGCCGCGAATACAGCCGATATCATAAGACAGAGGGGTTCAGCTTAGGTCAGTTCAAGGTGATGATCTCGACAAGCGCAACAAATAGTTCAAATAGCAAGTCTTTATTTTCTCATAATTAGACTAAAAGAGCACTAGAATATCACAAGGAAACCCAAAACCCAAAATATTGCAAGACTGCTGTAAATTCCTTATAATGCAGTGAGAATTCAACATCTTGTCTGTGAACGAGAAAAGCTAAATATCATAGATCAGTAGTCGTTGCACAAAACCTGTCAAGAAACATAGCGTTAAAACAACTAAACAACTATGTCAGTTCGGATGATATCTGCAAATCCAAAAAGTTCATAATTTGACTTGGTTCAACATTAATCCTCTAGCTGTTTCACCACACAAGTAGTATAATTAACTGCGTACCGTATCGCATAATCATCAGCACAACCAGCACAAGTAGCATAATCATCACAAGTAGCATAATCATCATCATAATCATCATAATCACCAAACAAGTAGCATAATCATCGTATCATCCATCTGCGCGATTTTTAGTTACATCTGTACGATGTATACTCACTTCATGGTTCGTCTAATATTCAACACATCAGCTTTTCTTAGACAACACCGACAACTGCAGTCAGGGTCACAACTCTCATCAGAGAATGTGTCGAGGAAAATGTAGCAACCATGCTGTTACAGTTTCAAATGCACAAACAATCCTGCATATGGCAATAATACGAAATTACACCTTACCGTTCCTTTGCGGCTCAAAGACGACATTGAGGTTCTGCGTCAATTCCCATACGGGTAAGTGACACTTCTATAAATACGAATATATAGCAGAGGATGAAATTTAAGCAGTCAAATGGAAACCAGAAAGCTCTATTTAGACAGCTGAATCCAAGAAACTTCCGTAGGATTGGCTAGGTACGATAGAACATAAGGAAAGCAAACGTTTGCAATCATCTGAATCTCGGTAGCCTCTAAGCCTTAATGATCATAGTGTCTGTCTGTGATCCCTTACACGAGCGTCTGGACTTGCGCTGAACTAAGTTTCAAAGAAATTAATTAAGAACGTCTAATTTACGAAGGCAATGTCAACGAACATAGCGGTCCGTAGCGTGTAAACACTACAGTTCATGACTGCAGACATGCAATGGTGAATCTATCACAATAGGATGAAAAACGAACAACTCTGGTCGAAATTCGTATTGACCGCAAAATGACTACCACCATCACGCTCAACCGAGAGAGCTACCACTGGACATGGATTAAATCATTCGTTGGCGTCGTCTGAATTACACTTAATTATATTATGAATATTTGCCGCTATAATCATGCATCACTGTAACTCTGCTCTGTTTGAAAGAACCTGATTTTGGACAATTCTCATGTTCAATCATTGTTTAGCCTAAGATGGCAATGGCCTATGTAGATCTAAAGTATGGTCTGCCAATAGATAATATGTATTTCTTAGCCTTGTAATTAAGCAGTAAACAAATTGCTCATTAAACAAAATGAAGCACAGCAAGCATATTGGAATAGTAAATCTCCAATGAGATCTCGGTCTGGTCCAAGGATACCTTCTTCATGCAAAGCGGGCGGCCAAAGCCAATGGTTATCGATTAGACCTTGTTTGATGGGACAGACTACTTTGAAACGCTAACGCCGGTGAACTTCCCGACTCTGATAAACAATTTGCATTACGTCATACATTACAGAACATTTAATCCGGTGCATTTCTAGTGCAATAATCGGTTAAGATGCCGGTTTGATCCATACTTCATCTTCATCTTCCATCGCCGCTTCTCCTTTCGAGTCCCGGAGGCAGACGCGTCAGACAGTGCTTCCAACGTTGCCGATCCTGTGCCAGTCTGAGCTTCGGCAGAAGACCACTGGAGTCTGGAACAGACTCTATCCATCTATTCGCACCAGGGTAATCTTGGCCATTCCCTGGGCCTTCTGTCAGTCGGTTGAATAAGAAACAGTTGCTTAGCCTTCCTTTCTGGAGGCATTCGCACCACATGCCCAATCCATCGCAGCCGTGACTACTCAATCTGGGGAAGCAGAGGCTGTATTCCAAGGCGCTTCCAAATATCACTATACCA